AAGAGAGTAGCTCGTCCCCTGGATCAGGACTCACAGACGCTACCCCATGTGGGTGCTGGGAAGCAAACCCGGGTCCTCTGCAGAGCAGCAAGCTCTTAACCGCTGAGCCATCTCTTCAGCGTCTGTCACTTTTTTCTTTGTTTTCCTTTTCTAATTGTGAGTGCAAGGGTGGTGCATGTGTGGGGGTCAGAGGCCAACCCGGGGGAGTCGATTTTCCCCTTCCACCATGTGGGTTCCAAGGATCCAATTCAGGGTGTCAGGCTTGGTGGCAAAGTACCTTCTGCGAGTCACACTGACTCTTGTTCCGTTTTATTATTTTGAGAGAGGGGATCTCAGGTTCCCACCCCGGCCTCAGATTTGCTGTGCAGAGGAGGATGGCTTTGAACTCGCGATCCTTCTGCTTCCACCTCGCAATGCTGGGGTCACAGGCGTCCACTGTCACTCCTGTTTCCCGTTATTTTCAAGCGATGTGAAAGATCCGTGTCCCTGACAAATTTGCACACCCAGAAGCTCACATGGTTACACAGGTTCCCCCTCATCCCACTCACCCGAGGGCGCGCTTAGCAGTGCCGAGCGTGTGATTCCAAGGCTACGGAGAGCGTCTATTTGGTGCCCCTTCACCTTGCCTGGGCTCACACCTGGGCCCACAGGCTGGGCAGGCGCTGTCTTGCTGTCCTCCGCTCCTCTGCTCCCTTGAGGCAAATTGAAAATTTTTTTTTCATGTTTTAACTCATTTCTATTTCCTGTGCGTTCCTGTTTTGCTGCATGTGTGTCTGCCTGAGGGTGTTGGATCTCTGGAACTGGAGTTGCAGACAGTTGTGACCTGCCATGTGGGTGCCGGGAATTGAACCTGGGTCCTCTAGAAGAGTGGGCCACGCTGTGAACCTCTGAACCCGTGAACACTATCCCTCCAGACCGAAAAAAAAAAAAAAAGCTTTTGAGACAGGGTCTTTATATAGCTCTCTGGCTGTCCTGAAATCCATCATGTAGACCAGGCTGGCCTCGAACTCACAAAGCCTCCTGCCCCTGTCTCCCAAGCGCTGGGGTTAAAGGTGTGCATCAGCATTCTCCGCATCAGGCTGGAAATGGTTTCGCTTAAAGCTTTATGTGTGGGGCTGGGAGACGGCCCCGGGGTCAAGAGCACTTGCTGCTCTTGCAGAAGACCCTGGCTCCATGGGTCGCAACCATGGAGGCTCAGGGCATCTGTAACCTTAGACCCAGGAGATCCGGTGGACACACATGGTACATGCATGGGAAAAGATTCACACGCACAGCAGCATGAGTACATTTTAAAAATAAAAGTTGTATGTGTGAGGGCGCTTGGCCCACAGGTGTGTCTGTGCAGTGTGTACCAGCGCCCTCAGAGTCAGAGCAGGGCGCTGCGCCCCTGGGACTGGGGTTAGAGATGCTTGTGAGCCGCCATGTGGTGCTGAGTCAAACCAGGTCCTCCGGAAGAGCGGCCACTGCCCTCAGCCAGCCCCAGAAGGCAGGGCATTGCCTGGGCTTCCTACCTGACGTGGATTCAAATCCTGGCTTCTCTGTTCTTACCCTCTTCATGTCTTTATCAAGTCCCCACTCCACCTTTTTTGTTTGGTTGTGTTTGTTTTTGGTTCCGGCGTGTGTTCTAACTATGAAGAAGTCAACACCCCTTGTCAGGGTCCTCGGGCCCCTCGGTGGGGATGGACAAAGCAGCATGAAAACAAGGCGGAGGGCTTGAAGCGCCGAGCGCTGCTAAGCAAGTACAGTGGCTGTTGGGCCCTGTCCAGGGCTAGGTTAGGCCTGTGGCCTCGGCTGGAGCAATGCTGTGTTGAGACAGAAATGATGACAGGACAGGAGTGAGCCAAGGAGGGCAGCAAGTAGGTTTGGAAGACTGCGCGCAGAGGAGGGCCCTGGTGTAGCGGCCCGAGAGGGGAAAGCAGGACCGGTTCATAGGAGTTTACGTTCACTCCGGCCCCATTGCATTCTGGTGCGTGGAAAGCTGGCAAAGCGGCTGAGGACACAGCCGGTGAGAAAAGGTGCTTGTTGCCAAGCCTGGTGACCTCAGGTCACGACCTCTAGGGACCCATATGGTGGAAGCAGAGACGTTGTCCTTTGACCTCTGAATGCTCACATCCATACAACAAAGAAATGTTAAAACAAAACAAACAAACAAAACAAGCAGCTGGGCATGGTGGCACACGCTTGTGATCCCAGCACTCAGGGAGGCAGAGGCAGGTGGATCTCTGTGAGTTGGAGACCAGGCTGGTCCACAGAGTGAGTCCAGGACAGAGAAACCCTGTCTGGAAAAACCAAACCAAACCTGTAGCTGTAAAGTTATTGTGGAATTTAAATGCTGATTTCTGTACCCCCACATCTGGTTGCAAGCCTTGTCCTGAGGCGTCTTAACGGCGTATAAACTCTGCTCCACAGTGCACCCCCATAGGTCAATAGAGCGGCTTACAGCCAATCACTGAGCAGGGGAGGACAGGACATCCTGCCAGCCAGGTGAGGAAGAGCTAGAGGAAGAAGTAGGAGACTCAGCCGGGAGAAGAGGTCCAGAGACACGGGGAGAGCTCAGCAGGAGAGCTGCAAAGTGCGAGTATGCTGGGCTGTGCGCTGGGCGGGAAGCGGATTAGCCTGGAGGGTTCCCGACCGGGTAATGACTGCTCAGTTCTTGTGTCGTGAAGCTTATTATGACAGATACAAAGACTCCCAATTATTTACGTGATAGCCGGGTTAAGAGCGAAACTGAGAGAAGCCAGGCAGTTATATAGAGATAACCGTAATACAAACCAAACCAGCTGGCCGGATTCCACTTTGGCGAGAGGCTCCATGTGCCACTAGAGCGCGTCCAGCAGGGGGCGCGAGAGCCCCGCGGCCTTGCCCGCGTCGGTAGCTACTGCGGTGTCGTCGACCCTTCGAGCAAGGCGCTTCGCCCGCTTCCCCAGCTGGCAACTGCCCGCCTCGCTGGGGCCCTGAGAGTGGGCACCCTCCGGCCCTGGACGTGGCGTGCCCGAGCGCGTGCGCACAGCGAATGGGTCTGCTCGCCTACAGGATAAAACGGAAAACGACGCGAACCCCACAGCATTCGGTGTTTGAGGTCTTCCCTGAACCGTCGCCCTCTGGGGGGGAGGGGACTTGGGCTGCAGAACCCCCATGGCTCTAAGGCTGCAGACTTGGGGCGTGCCTGGGTTGGGAAGCGTGAAGTGGAGGAGGGGCGAGGCAGGGTGGAGGGCCCTGGGGAATTGGAGCCCCGCAGCTGTGGGGCTGGGGTGCGGGAGCCCGTGCGTGCGGGTGTCAGCTCCAGCCGGACGCTTGGTGCAGGGCCGCCTCCTCGCCCTGACTGTCCCTCCCTTCCCCAGCCACGCAGCCGCAGCCACGCGGCCACGCAGCCGGCAGCCGAGCGGCCACGCGGCCGAGCAGCCACGCGGCCACGCGGCCACGCCACGCAGCCGGCACTCATTGCACAATCTGTCCGGCTTCAGCTCAGCCCCCTCTCTCCAGCCCTTGCTGGCTGTGGGGCTCTCGGGAGCTCAATGCTGGATCAGCTCAGCTCGAAGCCTCGGGTGCCAGGTGCTGGAGGTCAGGGCTGTGGACCTGTGACACACGGTTCTCTCTTCCTAAGTCTGGGGCAAGGCCAGGGTAGGGCCGTCACGCGTGGCCATGGCTTGAAGTCTCTTGTGAAACACGAGGGCTTATCTGCGTGGGCCGCTGCTTTGCCCTGGGGAGCATGCAGAACCCCCCTGTGGTTGCGGGGTGCCCGCTCCCTTTCCTGACACGCGTGTTCGCCTGTGGTGGCTGGTGAGAAGGCCCTGCGTGGGCTCACGCATTTGAAGGCTTCACCCCTGGGCGGTGGAACTGTTTTGGGAAGAAAGAAGAGGGGTGTCTTTGGAGGGAAGGCGTGTCCCAGGCACGGGCTCTGCCTCTGTGGATCAGGCGTGAGGTCTCCCGCCGGCGCCCTGTCCTGTGGGTCATGGATTTCTCAGACACTATTGGCCCCAGTTAAACGCCTTATTTTATTTATTCTGTAAATGAGTTGCCTTGGTCATGTCTGTTCACTGCAAGAGAAAGTCCAGCTCTCGCCGGGCCCAGAGCGGAGACCGCAGCTCGGCGCTGCTCACTCAGCGCTTTAACTTCCACAAACCCTCGCGGTGGTCTGGGACAATGGCTTCAGGCCCTGCCTGCACCCCCTTCTGGGGGCCTTGGGTCCCCAAAGCCCTTGCTCGCCCTCAGTTTTGTAGCTGTCCAGGCCTCCCCCAACCTGAAAAATACCTCCTCTTTCCATCTTCCCCCGATGGAGACTCATTTCTCTCTGCTGTCCACCCCAGCTCCGAGCTGGCAGCCCGGACTCACTCCGCTCCCCCTCACCGGGCTGGGGTCTCATCTGTGTAGTCACTGATGCTGAGGGAGAGACTTAAAGGGGCAGGGCTTGCTTCTGCCTAGGGTTGTGGCAGGGTGGGGGGTGTGGCAGAGAAGGCTGCTTACTTCGTGACAGCCAGGGAGCAGAGATGGGGGAGAGGGAGAGAGGGAGACAGAGAGACAGAGACAGAGAGAGATGGAGAGACAGACACAGAGAGAGAGACAGAGAGCGAGAAGGAGGGGGAGAGAGAGACCCAGGATAAGATGAACCTTTCCAAGGCACACCCCTGGCTGAGCTCACTGCCTCTGGGCCCCCAGCCCCTCTGACAGTTTCCACACCGAGGCCAGCGCTGCATTCTTAGCCGGGTGTCTCCCTTGCCCTCTGTGCAGCCCGGAGGTCTGGACCCACGGTTTTGGGCGTGCCAGGGGCCCTCTCTGCCACCCAGCGAGCGTCCAGCCGGCCTGCAAGTCTTCACGCCCCACAGTGCAGGCCCACGCCTCCGTGTGTTCATGAGACATCTGTGAGCACGTGCCTCTGTGTCTCTCTGATGTGTGTGCTCTCTCGGCTCCGCTCACACGCTGTGGCTCTTCTCCCGGATGAGGAGGGCAGAGCTGGGAGACCAGAGGGCGTGATGGCGCTCTTCCGAGGCGAGGCCAGCAGTCAAGCGGGCGTGGAGAGGCCTATGCGGCAGGGGACAGAGGACCCCACACAGCAGCAGGCAGCATCTCGCCTGTCACGTGAGCAAGGCGCTTGGCAGGAGCACTCAGGTGCTCGAACTAGTCCGTTAGTGCTCTCTGCCCACTCCGGGCAGGGCTGGAGGCTACAGAGCAGACTTTAAGATGCTCCATTCCGGAACAATACGCAAACAGAAAGATGAAAAAAATGGTGAGTTTTCGGTGTTTTGCTGTTTTCCACGCTGATGTGAAGGTAGCACCAGCACCCAGAGCTCGAGAGACGAGTCACGCCTCACCCCTGAACCCCTCCTTGCCCTGCCTGTCACAGTAGCTGCCATCCACACTGGAGCTGCGTCTGTTTGTTTGCCAGAATAAACTGGATGGTAAGTGGCAAAATCAGAGAGTGTTAAATTAATGGCCCAATTTCCACCAAAATCGCTGGCAGCGAGCCTAGTCCATGCAAACACGGGGGTTTTCGGGACGCAGACAAACAAGGACACGCAGCGGCTGTGTTTATGTAAGCGATGCCTTCCTGGGCGGCTGGGGGCTGTAGACGGCCACGGTCGGAGCCTCCCTTCCCCCGCCAGGGAGGTCTCAGGACTGAGGGGACTCGGGGACCTGGGTGTGGCCCAGCTAAGGACCCTGTTCTGGCTGAGGTGCTGGAGGGCACGCAGGGCGCAGAGCTGGGCTGCCCATGTTTTCCTCTTCACTCTTTTGTGCCTTGCAGGGCCTCAGCTTTCTTGCCTGCAGAATGGGTTGCGCTCTGGGTCTGAGGCAGGTCAAGGCACTGGGGCACAGGGCAGAACCGGTGACTTCTTGGCCCCAGTCCCCGGAAGAACGGCTGCTCTGGCCCCCTCCCGCTGCCTGGAGGACTGCGGGAGTAGGTCAGGCTAGGCTGCGAGCTCTGAGCCCCCAGGAAGCCACAGCTTGCAATTACAGGGCCAAGGTCACAGGGCAGGATTGGGCAAGAGAAGGGAATCAGCTGGCGCCTCTGATCCCGGTCGGGGATATTTGGAGATACGGACAATTCTGAGAAATTCAGAACAGAGAGGGGAGGGCCCTGGGGGAAATGGCAACTGTGCCCTGGCCTTTTGAGGCCTGCCCCTCCCCACAGAAAGGTAAAGATTAGTGCCATGGGGGCGTAACCCGTGCGTGTGCGTGAGTGTGCGTGTCAGGAGACCCTTTTTTCTGAGACACAGAATAGAGGTCACCCACGCCTTCCTTCCACCCCAAATACCTCCCCATCCGAAATCCATTCCCACCTCTGTTTACGGTCCAAAGTCCTGGCATTGGCAATGCCAGGTTCAGCGTGCTCAGGGGCCCCTGGGTGGACCCTGTCCCTTCCTCTCCCGTTGCCCAGGGCTGTCCACCTGGTTCTTCAGATCAGCCCCCTCCTTAGCCTGGGCTGTGTGGTGTGAGGGACCTTCAGTAAGTAAAGTTGGGGAGAAGGGGTGGGCGGCCCACAAGAGGGTGGATGGAGGGGTCCTGAGGGCGCGCGCACACACGCGCACACACACACACACACACACACACACACACACACACACACACACACATTTGGGTAAATGGGAGAGGATAGAGTTTTCTTAGACAGGATGTAGCCCTGGCTAGCCTGGAACTCCCTCTGTAGACCAGGCTGGCCGTGAACCCTCAGAGATCCCCCTGCCTCTGCCTCCCAAGTGCTGGGATCATTGGTGTGCGCCACTATGCCCAGCTAGAGGGTAGAGTTTTGGATGCCAGGCTTGGGAGCAGATGGGAGAAGAAGGGAGTGTGTCAGATGTGAAGGGGATTCGGCTCCGTCCGGCTGGTGGCCTGTTGGCCCCCGCCTCAGCTCTGGACTTGGCCGTCCTAGGCCCAGCTCCGGCGCTATTATGACAAAGGATTACCAAGATTTCCAGCACCTGGACAATGAGGAGAACGACCACCATCTGCGGAGAGGTGAGCGTGCCTCTCCAGAGATCGCGGTGCTCTGCCCCTGCCGCCCTTAGGGGACAGTGGCTGCCGCTCTTGCTGGGGGTGGGTACAGGGCACAGGGCTGCAGTCCTCAGCCGCCGGGGTCCTCCCGCGCCACCCACGACCCTGGCAGCGGGCGGATCCCGGGCGCGGGGCCTATGGAAGGATGGCTACTGTCCCTTCTGAGGCCAGGCCCGTGTGTGCGGTGGCGGTGTCCGTGGTGGTGGTGGTGGTGGTGGTGGTGGTCGTCAGGATCAGGCTGAGGGCATGGGGAGGGGTCCGACGGGAGGGGCAGCGCTCTGTAAAGCACCCCCTCCCCACTCCCGACGGCTCTGGCCAGGGACTGCTGTGTCAGCAGAGCGCGGCCGGAGCTCCCCGGCGGGCCGCGCGCCTCTGTGCAGGGAGGAGCACAGGGAGGGAAAAGGGAGAAGCCAAGCCAGCTGGCAGGACGGAGCGTGGTCTTCTCGCTGGGGAGGCCCCGGGTGCTCCGGATTCCTGGCGAGGAAGGACGCCTTTCCCAGGCGCGGTTCGTCGCGTGCAGTGACGCCGTCAGGCCACAGGGCGGCAGCAGAGGCTCGGCCTCGGACCGGTCCTAGTTTGCTGTGGCTCCTCCCGGGTTGCCCACGTTTCGTAATCTCCGTCGCTCCTCTCGGGCCGCTGGAGGGCTCAGCGTGCGCCCCTCGAGGACCCGCGGTCCACAGCAGGCGCCGGGTCGAACCCTCACTGCTCTCTTGCAGGGCCGCCGCCCGCCCCAGCGCTCTGGCAGCGCCTCTGCTCCGGGCCCCGGCTGCTCCTGCTCTCCCTGGGCCTCAGCCTCCTGCTGCTCCTGGTTGTCTGTGTGATCGCGTCCCAGAGTGGGTGACCAGGGCTGGGCAGTCCAAGGGGGCAGCCTTGGGTGTGCGAGAGCGGGCGATGGGTGGACACAGCCGGTTTTTCACGCCCACGTCCTCTCCGGCCTAGACTCCCAGCTCCGGGGGGATCTGCGGGCTCTGAGGCAGAATTTCAGCAACTTCTCCGCGAGCACTGAGGACCAGGTCAAGACCCTGCGCACCCAGGGTGAGGCGGCCGGTCCCGGGCCTGGGGTGGGGGTGGGGGCCGTGAGGGGTGGAAGGATTGTCAGGAGCAAGTTTCTCCTCCAGGAGGCAGTGTGGGAAGAAAGATGAAGCTGCTGGAGACGCAGCTGGAGAAGCAGCAGCAGGATCTGAGCAAAGGTGAGGGGGAGGGGTGGAGAGGGGCTGGGGGGAGAGGGGAGCGGGGAGGGGAGGGCGGTGACTGGCTGCCCCCGGTGCTCACGCTTGCCCACCTTCTTCTACCCCTCCCCCAGACCACGCCACCCTGCTGGAGCTCGCGAAGCAGCTCGTGTCCGACCTCCGGAGCCTGAGCTGTCAGATGGCCGCGCTTCAGGGCAACGGTGAGCGGCGGGGCTGGCAGCCGGTCCCCTGAGCCCCATCGACGGCTCCTCACCCCCCCTCTCCCCCACCCCAGGCTCTGAGCGGACCTGCTGCCCCATCAACTGGGTGGAGCGCGAAGGCAGCTGCTACTGGTTTTCCAGCTCGGGGCGGCCCTGGCTGGAGGCGGACAAGTACTGCAAGCTGGAGAGCGCGCACCTGGTGGTGGTGACGTCCTCAGAGGAGCAGGTGAGGCCGCGGTGACCTCCCGGGAGGGCAGGCAGGTGGGCCGCGGTGTCCTGGGAGGGGGGGCAGGCAGGTGGGGCGGCGGGGCCGGGGCTGCCAGCTCTGCTTCTGTCCGCAGAGGTTCCTCCAGCACCACATGGGCCCTATAAACACTTGGATTGGCCTGACGGACCAGGACGGGCCCTGGAGGTGGGTGGACGGCACGGACTACGAGACAAACTTCAAGTGAGTGTGGGCCTGCCTGGGGCAGCTTGTGCTGTCCCTGGGCGGGGAGGGCCCCCTGCTCCCCGGGACTGGGAGCCTCTGGGACCCTGGCTGAGTCTGAATTCCTGGGGTTCACGGCAGTCCCCTGTCGTAGGAACTGGAGGCCGGAGCAGCCGGACGACTGGTACGGACACGGGTTGGGAGGGGGCGAGGACTGCGCCCACTTCACCCCCGACGGCCGCTGGAATGACGACGTGTGCAGGAGGCCCTACCGCTGGGTCTGCGAGACAGAGCTGGGGCCGCCAGCTAGGCGCCCCTCCCCTAATTTATTTCCTTGAGGCTGAGCTGCGAGGCTTGGACCGGGGAGCCCTGTCTAGGGGTCTCCGCAGCTGGGAGTGTCGGGGCGTTTGTGGCCCATGCTCGCTGGCGTTCTGACCTACCAGGCTTTGTGCAGCGGACGAGTGTCAACTTTTTTTTTTTTTTTTTAAGAGTAAAAATAGAAGAGACATATACTTACCCGTGTCTGGTCACTGGGGATTAGCAGCCAGGGCGGCCTGGCTAGGGCTGGGGGGCCTCGGCCCTAGCCTCGGACTCTGGCTTTGCTGTGCGCAGCTAGGCCGGCTGGAGGGGTTGTTGTCCTGCGCCCCAGCGGGAAGGAGGGTTACCTGCAGCCCCGGGCTGAGTCCCTCACACGCTTGGAGCGACACTCGCTGGCCTGTTGCGTTCACCACAACAAACAAACTGCTTTTAGACTGAAGGAAGGCCTGCGGCGAATACACAGCTCAGGGTCACAGACACGTGAGGACAGGGCGCTGACACCAGCATAACCAACAACAGAGGGCAGGAGCGAGGACAAATGGGTTAGAGGACGAGCATAGACATCATTAACAGAACCGGCAAACTGTTCGCCCACAAATAATACCAAAATACAAGAAATGAGACTTTGCACACATATCTGTGTGTACACGCGAGTGTGTATGCCCTCCATCAGTGTGTGCATACCCACGTGGGTATGGGCGATGTGGTAGGCGCCTCTGCAGAAAAGCCTGGCAAAGCTGGTACCTAAAATTAGAGGCAAGCAACAGACTGGATGGACTGTTTGCAGCATCTGTAATGAGCAACTAATAACCGGCCTGCGAGGAACCGCAAAGCACAAGAGAAACTCGGCGAGAAGTGTGCGAAGATAAGCCCTTGCCACTTCCCGCTGGGGAGCTCTCCCATGCCAGCCAGCAGCCAGCGGCTCCCTTCCCTGAGCCTCCCCACACCGCCCGTGGCCTGGGCTGGGGACAGTCCCGCTCAGCCTGCTCGGCAAGGACCGTGTCCTGGGAACACTCGCAGACCGTGGCTGTGAAGGAGCGGTTGTGCGTGGCTCCTGTGTAAGGACTGGCTCACCGGCCAAGAACGTGCATCGCTCCTCAGAGGCTCCCGGCATGCACAGCCCCTAGCCTCGTGGACAACACCGACCTACCTACCTCGAGAAGCCTGAGTGACACAGTCTGGACGGTTGTCTCTCCTGACGTGTGGCCGGCTGTGTGCCGAGACTCTGTCGCAGCCCGGCAGGACAGGAGCAGACCGCAGGCCAAATGGACCCTTTGTCCCTCAGTTGCTCTTGGTCAGTGTTTTGTCGCAGCGACAGGGAAGTGAAGTAGGACAGGGATCCAGGGCACACTGCCCGGGAAAAGATGTCAGCCTGAACCCCTGAGCATGTATCGGCCCAGGCATGCTGTGCTCGAGGCCCTGTGAGGTAGAGAAACTGTAAGCTGGTCCTTCCTAGGTGCGTTTCTGTGGCCTTTAATGACCTCTGTGCTCAGCTCTGCTCTGCAAAGCATGCTCATCAGAAAAGCCACCCCCAGGGCTCAGGCCCTCCCCAGACCCTGAAGTCAGCTGAGCTTTGGCATGGAGGGCTGGCAGGGATAGAAGGCTCAGTGGCCTAGATCTGGGGTGAGGCAAACTGAGGGGGGCTGTGGAGCCAGGGCCTGTGTTCTGCGGGACTTCTCAGCAGTGTTGAAAGGAGAAGGGCGGGACGCCAGGATGGCTCTGCTGAGCAGGGAAGGAACAGCGTCCCCGAGGGGATGGGGTGAGGGAGGGGTCGGCAGCATCCAGGTCCAGCTGGGAGTGCGGCTGTGGGCTGCGGGAGCTCTTCCTGGAGGATTTTAGTGTCACGGAGCTTTTGGGCGATTGCAGCCCTCACGGGAACAAGGAGCTGAGCAATGTGACAATGTGACTAGCTCAGGCGCCTCTGACCGGTGACAGCCAGAGCTCAGGCCGGGCCGAGGGCGGCTCTGTTGGCTCCAGGTGCTGGCTCCGGCCGCCCCGTGACGACCGCCTGTGACCACCTTGAGAGCTGGGGGTCTCCAGGCTGTGTGCCCTGGGGCAGGCACACAGGCAGGGAGGGTGTGGTCTCCGCCTGCCGAGGAGAGTTTTCTGCCTCAGTTTGGGGATTTTCAGGGTGTGGACACGTCTCTGGCCTCACTCTACCTCATGCCTGTTGTGTCGGCCATCACGCAGCCTGTGTGCCCCATGTACCAGCGGAAGGGAAATGCAGAGGTGCTGGGTTACACAGCTGGATACATGTGGATGTCACGGGGGTACATGTCCCTGAGTGTGGGCTGGAGAGTCAAGGAGAGAAAATCATATTCATCTGGGCTTTGATTCCCTACCTCTTCCCCTCCCCAAACACACACACACACATACACACACACACACACACACACACACACACACACACACACACTCACACACATTCACAAACAAAACAAAACAAAACAAAACAGCGGAGTTTCTACAGAACTCACTCTGTAGAACAGGCTGGTCTTGAACTCAGAGATCTGCTGCCTCTGTCTCCCGAGTGCTGGGATTACAGCCCTTTCTATCTGCCTCTCCGTGGTCCCTTTGTCTAGGACTCTTCCTCCTTGAAGCATCATGGAGCCCCCTGCTCCAGGCCAGGCTGAGCCAGCTCTGCACAGCAGGTTAGATGCAGGCAAGTGTGACAAAAGGAAGCAGGCTGTCGCCTCAGTAGGAGTCAGAATTCATAGTGTGAGTAGAGCCTGAGAGGAGTTGAGGGAGGCGGCTTCTTTCTTCTTTCTATTCATTCATTCATTCATTCATTCATTCATTCATTCATTCATTCTATTTTTTTTTTTTTTTGAGATGAGGTCTCTCTGTGTAGCCCTGGCTGTTCTGGGACTCACTTTATAGACCAGGCTGGCCTCAAACTCACAGAGATCCACCTGCTTCTGCCTCCCACATGCTGGGACTAAAGGTGTGCTGCATTGCACCCAGCTGGGAGGCGGTTTCTCAGGAGCCCAAGGAGGCAAGCCTGTGGGATGGGAAGAGGGCACTGAGAAGCTGCCCCCTGTGTTGGGCTGCCGAGGCAGTCCTTGAGCGTCTCCTGAGCGCGCAGAACAGCTGACCTGAGGCAGAAGTGCTTGGAGGATTTCCCAGCAGCTCCTGCTCTCCACGGCTGTCAATTCCGGGTAGCTCTGCACCTCCCTGTGCTGGTCGGCCTGGCTCTAAACGGCCCTGAAGAAAGCTCTGGAGCGGAGCGTGTAGTCAGGCTCTCGGAGACATCCTCAGGACAAGCTGCCTAGCTTACCTGCCCACCTCCGGCTGTGGCAGAAACGAGTGGGCAGGGACGGTGAGGGGAGGTGCCTTCTGTGGTCCACACACTCAGGCTCTGGCAAGAACACAGATGCCCGCCAGCAACTCAAACGTGAAACACGGAAGAGGGGCCTTAGGAAATGGGCGAAGTATCCAAAAATCTGCCAAAGCCTCCCAGAGACCTCGCTCCTTCCTAAACACAGCGGCTGATTCTTGGGCGGTCACTCACTCACTGCTGAATCGCTGCCGCCACGAGAATTCAGATCAAAATTCATGAGTGGTGGCCGGGGGTGGCTCACGCCTGTAATCCCAGCACTCGGGAGGCAGAGGCAGGTGGATCTCTGTGAGTTCAAGGCCAGCCTGCTCTACAGAGTGAGTCCAGGACAGCCAGGGCTACACAGAGAAACCCTGTCTCGAAAACCAACCAACCAAAAATTCCTAAGTAGGGAGGGGGCACCTTGGGGTGTAAAGCAAATAAACTAAAATTTAGAAAAATCATAAGCAATGTTTTTTGCCTTTACATTTTTTTTTTTTTTTTTTTTTACAAAAATGAGTCTAAATTTATCTGGAAGAAAGAACATATGAGAACTAGGTGGCAGAAAAGTTTAAAAAAGAACAGTTAGGAAATTTATCTTCCCAGAACTTGAAATCTATTATCAGGCAGTGTAATTAAAATGCGCTTGGTAGCTCTGGAGAGACGGCTCAGCAACTAAGAGCACTAGCTGCCCTTCCAGAGGACCCAAGTTAAATTCCCAGCACCCACATGGCAGCTCACAACTGCCTGTAACTCAGCTCTGAGTGATCTGATGCCCTCACACAGACATACACACAGGCAAAACACCAACGCACATAAAATAAAAAAATAAGTAAGTTATGAAATATGCACTTTGGTAGCGGGTTGTGGTGGCGCACGCCTGGAATCCCAGCACTCAGGGAAGCAGAGGCAGGGGGATCTCTGAGAGTTCGAGGCCAGCCTGGTCTACAGAGCAAGTCCAGGACAGCCAGGGCTACACAGAGAACCCTGTTTTGAAAAACCAAAATAAACAAGTTAAAGATAGATAGATGGATAGATAGATAGGTAGATAGATCGATCGATAGATGGGTGGATGGATGGATGATAGATAGATGGATGAATAGAAGATGGATAGATGGATAGATGATAGATAAAATGCACTTGGCGTTGGTGTAGGAATGGAAGATGAGCTGGAGGTGCAGAAAGTCTTCAGAGCCGGAGCCGGGAGCCGGCTGTGGCTGTGCGGGTGGTGAAAGCATCCAGTGGTGACCGGCCTGAGCAAAGAAGGGTGCCGGCGGGTGCGGACCGTCTCTGTGAGCTCCCGGCAGGCCTGCTGGCTGGCCAACCCTCGTTGCCGAGGGTTCTCTGCCCCCTGGTCGTTGCTGAGGGTCTCTGTGTTCTCACTCCACTTCTTGCGCGTCACCCGCCTCGTTTTCAACGTCTTATGCTATTGTGGTTTGGCTCCTTCGCTTCTTCGCTTCAGGCCTTCTACCTCAGCTTTAGAGTTTAGCAACCATCTCTCCTGTCTCCGCCTGTCTCCCTCTCCCCACCTCACTCCTTCCTCACTGATGACTAAGAAGCGTTGGAAGGCCCTGCTGTTTGAGGCTGCAGTCCTCTCGGTCTGGAGAGCCATCCTGAGCTCCGTGTTAAGGTGCAGGACTCCCTCTCCCCAGCAGGGCCTCCTGCTCTCTGCCTGACTTCATCTGGAGAGTGTCTTTAGACACAGACGCCCCTAACCACATTTGGCATGTGGCCTCCGACACAGCTCCCTGCTGGCTCTCCCCTCCCTGCGCCTATAGGATAGTTAGGACTGTGTTCCCGTTCTTACGGCAGGAGCGTGCTGGTGGATGCAAATCAAGCGTCCTCCAAGTGCCCAGTTCCAACCAGTTATGTACACCT